GGGGGGAAGGTGGCCGAAATAAAACTGTTTGTTCTTCTTTTTCTTTCTTTTTCTTTTTTTTTTTTAATTTTTATTTTCTAACTGGCCGCGGCGGAGCGGGAGGCCGGCGGAGCGGCGGGCCGGGCCCGGCCCCACGTGGCCGCCCACGTGTGAGGCGCGGCCGGGGACCCGGAGGGTCGAGGTGTTGCAACTATTTGTCTCCGACCGCAGGCACGGATGGTGGCCGGCTCCAAATCCAAATGTGACCTATAAATGGATAGGAAAAATAGCCTGTGACATCTACAGATCACGGACTAGTGGAGCAGCCTTTTATTTAAGTTCCTGTCAGACCTAGTTCTCAAGTAACCGCTGTTACTCATTTAGCGCCCAGAATTGTCATGAGGAATTATTAAACTTAATATTAGGTTTTATTTTCATTTCAGCGCTTAATCAGATCCCATTGCTACGCAGCATTAGGGTTGCCTAGTCCGTGTTTTCTTCCTCAATGCAAACTCGCCTAGAGAAGCAATCCTGCATGTGTCCTCAAAGTGAAGAGGTTAAATGAGTTCGCCAGGGCTGTGCAACAACCGTACTAGTTACAGGCTTAACCTACCATTATTTTTTTTTTAAACTGACCTAGTTAGTGTCTAGACTGAATTTTGTATTAAAAACTTTATACAGAGTTTACTTCTCTTTAAGTTTAAAAATTTGTGAAGGTAGGAATAAAAGGGGAAGATGGTAGAATGTGCACATTTGGTTAGATAATCTGTTTTTTCTCCCTCTTTATTAACTAGTATGGATAGGCAGAAAGTACTAGAGTCACTTTTTTATTAACTTTTCTCTCCTGTTTTTTGTCAAGAAAACTATCCAAGAATTACTAGTCTATTAGAAGTCCTGATGGTTTTTTAACCTGGCTTCTGGCCCCTGAGTAGAGATCCAAGTTCTTGAGTTTTAGTTAATGTTCAGCATTCCTGGATGGGATTTCCTGTGGAATCTATTGAGTGGACCCCAAATAGAGCCTAGGGCTTGGCTTTCCACTTGTGTGGGTTTTCTTGAAGTTTAAATAACTTCTTAGAATTGGGGTGTTGTTACCTGGTGATCAGAATACATCTGGTTCTCTTCTAGTGAGGACAAAAGTAGGAGGGAGGAACATCACTGACTCTCTCTGTAGCATGTTTTCAAGTTATAGATGTGGACACTCAGCCAGCTGAATACTGAGTAACTTCAGTGACAGTCATGTGTCCTGTGTTCCAGAACTCTCAAAACATGTTTTTTGGGGAAATATAAATTCTTTCTGGGTAGAATTTCTCTTCAAATGAGTAATATTTTTTTTACTTCCTTTTGAAACTACATGCTGGCACTTCTGTTAGAGCAGTCCTTTTTGCCTTCCCATTTTCTTGGTCTTAAAATGGGAGGCAAAGCTGTGCTTCCTGTTACGTAGGTGTTACACCATGTTTGGGCTGGCTCTGGGCTGGCTTCTCAGATTCAGGTGTGGTGTTCTAGGTTGGTCACCAACAGCCTGGAAGGAAACTGCTGATTTCTCAACATTTGCCTCTGATACAGCTGACATGCCAAAGAGCTCTTAAGTATGCTGGCTTTAGCAGTGGTTTTTAGCTGGTCTTTCCTTTGAGTCAAGTCCTATTAATATCCAATGGAAGTGGTGCTTGTAGATCAAAAGAAGCACCTGGTAAGTATAATGAAGATAATTGCCCCTGTTATATTGAGCTTGTACTATTAACAAGCTGATGAAACCTCAGGAACTGCTCATATTCAGGAGCATCTTGAGTAATCTTAGAGGTGCAGTTCAACTTCCTTTCTAGTATGAGGAGCCCAAGTTAGTTTTTGTTCATTAAAGAAATGCTCAGAGAGCATCTAGGCTAAAAGCCATAAAAAAGGAGCATTGCAATGGAGCTTAGTGGTAGTTCTTCCCATCAACAGTTCGAGATGGGCTGCTAAACTGGACTTGGATAATGTATATTAACTGTAAAGCCATAGAAAGACATGATCTTACAGAATTTGATAAAAGAAACTTGAAAATTTCTCGTATCGTCAAAATATCTTGCAAGAAACTTTGCCACTGAAGTTTGGTGGTACAGTTGTGCTCAAAAGCTTCAAATCTGACCTAGGAAACCACTGCAGTGGCACCTCTCCCATGGATCTTTGAGCTGTTATCAGCCCATGATCTTCAGCAGTAGGGTTATCATACAGAACAAAGTCTAAAAATCATTCTTAATGTTTTGCTGAATAGCTGCAAGGTGATTTATTTCAGCTTCAAGCTACAGTTAGGGAGCTCTGTGGAAGGAGTTCAGGTAAATGGACTACCTTCTCCCTCAGTAGAAAGGTAAGGTTTGAGACAACTTCACTAGTGGTTCTTCCAAAGTTTTGGAATCCAGTCTGTGAGGCAGTGGCTTAGTATTGTTTGTAGAGCTTGACCTGGCTCAGAAATTGTAGATGAGACCATAGTAGTAATTTATTTCCCATTATTGATTTTCCTGTCCTGCTGAGATAAAAAAATCTAGTTCTGGGATGTAAAGAGCCAGGGGAGGGCGGGAGAGGCGTGGGACAGGGACAAGTTGCTTTGTATAAGACCTTTGAGCTGTGGAAAACACTGATAGATGTGACTGAGAGCAGACTTCCCAAGAAGACTTAAACAAGTAGCCTTCCCGCAGAAGCTTACTTAAGGTGGCCTTGATAGATAAAAGGAACTGTTGGAAACTTGCCTGCGATGACAAAATGGAGGAGTGTTGACCAATAGAGGAGTATTTGAACTTGGGTGGTTTTTACTGTACTCACTTTTTTTCCCCTCTTGGAAGTAGCTGAAAAATGTGTCCAAACTGCTTGGAGGCTATCCATTTAAGGACTTGTCTTCTGAACCAGCCCTTTCTGGATATTGCTCCTTGAAAGTGGCTGTTGGCTTTATCTGAAAACTAAATCCTTATGTTGGTTTTTAAAACAGTTAACACCGGTGGGGAATTTTGTCCCATGTAAGGCTTCTTGGAACGTGGGGCAAGTAAAACTAGTGTCAGCTGCATCTGCCTCTAGCTGGTGAGCTAGTATTCGGTTTCACATCCTTTACAGGAAGAATGCAGAAGTTAAACATTAAAATACTGGTGAAGAGAAATTCCAGGCAAACTGTTTAGTGTTTTCATATACTTAAAGGTATTTGAAGACGGAGCAGCATGCTTTGTAACCGTACTTCTGTGGCAGCTGTAACCTTCAAGTATCTCTGAGTTCAGGGGGGAAAGGGGCCTCTAAAGATAAAGGTTTTTAAATTAATCTCTCAGGCTTGAAGGATAATTTTGCAGAGACTGTTGTTTGACTGATTTTTTTACCCAGTTTGTGTAATCCTGCTTTGCTAATTTGCTACACACCAGAGTAAAAGAAACTTCAGATTTTTCCTCTTGAAGGAGCAGTTAAAAAGGAAGCAACTTTGACTGGGATCTAAAACTTCTCTTTTCAGGTCCCTTTGAGACGGTGAGCGGTGAGCAGTGAGTGTTTGTCCATCCTGCAGCTCCTGGTCCAGACTGGCAGATTGACAGACCAGATATGAAAAAAATAAATCTTAGTGTAGAAACTTTTCCAGTGTGATCTAAAGCAGGTCTAGCTCACCTGTTAAGTGTCTTTTACCATACATTAACTTGACCAGTTATGTTAGGTTCTTCATAGGGCTGGCAGTATTCAATCCTATCACTCTGCTGTAGTCTCAAGTTCATAGTTTAGAATGAAAGTTTGATAGTACCTTTAAAGATATATTGCAGTTCTGTTACAGCTCTTGGCATGCTATTTTGCTTTTTTTTTAACAGGCCTTACATTGCTCTTCTATAACATTTCAATGTGAAGACTCCTTTTAACAGGGCTGTAAGTTGAGTGAAGGATGCATCTTTGTGTATAACTGGGACCCCATTTTGTCCCTCTTGAAATGAAAAGCAGCAATTGTGCCTGCGCCCAGCTCCTGCAGTTGGCTTTGCCTGTGTTTTTCCTGTTCTGCAGTGTCAACATGGTTGCTATGAAAACAGGCATAAACAGTAGCACACTGAGTGCCAGCTGCTGCCACCATAGTAGACAGCTCTTCATCCTTGGGTGTCCTAATAAGATAGTTTGAAATTTTGACTACCAAGTTGAAGCAGAGAAGACTGGGTTATGTGTAAAATCCACGTATATCTCCTACATGCTTAGACAAAGTTGTTTTATTCTTGTTTAGATCTGTTTAAGATCATCTTGCACACTTTCATTGCAGAACTTGAAATAAAAAGCAAATGACATCATCTGGTCCAGCTGGGAGGTAGATGTGGATTACAGAAGTAGCATACTAAAGTTTAGATCTCTTGGGCTTCTACTGTGGTGGGAGGGATGGTCACTTTGGTGCTGAAAATTATGGGAGAGAGGGGAACTGTTTTGAGGGAGGAGTGGCTAAAAAGCAACAGTAGATTTCTGCAACATTGGAGTACTTCAAAAATAGCTCTGAATAAAAATGTGTATTTAGATACATGCTCTCCATTTAAGACCTAAATGTCAGGATGCTAATTCTGGTTCCTTCTTGAGGTCATGTGTTGTTTTTGCTGCTTTTGTAGTGGCTTCTTTCAAGACACAGCTCATGAATGTTCCTGGTAACTGGGGATGCTGGATGGTTTGGGGGGAGGGAAGCGTTTTGTAAGGTGAATGAACTGTAGGATTGCAGGAAGATTATCTTGATAGGGGATGAGGTGAGCTGCCATGCATACCAGATAATGATTCTACTTCTGTTGGGTTACGAATAATGAATTGAGGCAGATCATGTGAAGTATGAAGAGACTTCAGCAAAACAAAGCTTGAGATGTTTAAAGTAGACTAGTCTAAAAATACGCTTGTCTTGAAGCACACTTTAAAAAAGACTCCAATTAAATGTTTAACTTCCTCCTTCTTTCTAGTTCTGGAAGTGTTGTGTAACTGTTTTACAGCTTAGTGGGGGTAAGGTGCTGCGACTGCAGTCTGTTTAACCTACCCTGTCCTAACCACTGCTTCGGTGGGCTGTGGCAGCCTGACTTTGTGCTCCATGAAACGCATACCTCCATTCCCCAATATGGGCAAAAGAAGTGGTTCGTACCGTCTGGGACAGGCATGCCGAGCTGATGTTTCCCTAGCATTCTAAGGATGCTTTCCAAGTTAGCCTTCTAGATATCTGGCAAGTGTCTGGTGTCTTTTAAGGAGGCCAAATGTCTTAAACGTTTTCTTTCATGTAAACCTGGGAGTGAAGTATGCATCCTGAGCTAGAGGTGAATATATCGGAGTTGTAATTCTTGTTTCTCAGGCTTTAACTGCTATTTAAGTCATAAAACAACTTAAGTCTTCAAATATTAAACCAATGTGCCCTTTAAAGGTTTAGGTCTAATACTGCCTATTCTTACAATTAGCTTCTAGAACGAAGCTTGATTAGTCAATAAATGTAGTAGCTTCAAGAGAAAGCTCAACAACTACCAGGAAGAAATAATTTGTAGAGATAAGTAGCTGGCTTTTGAGTTTAACCCTGAGGAATAAGGAAGAAGGTGTGTTACTGAGAGAGAGAACAGCAGTAAGGCTGGTTAGACAGTAGTTAAAGACACCTAAGCATTTTATAAGTTTTTGAAGTGAAGACTAGCTACAAAAACTAATTAGAGGAAAAGTTATGTAGCATGCTGTTTCTTTGACTGTTCAAAGCTGCCTTCCTCCAAGCAAAGCTGAGACAAACTTATATTCTCTACAGTAGCTTTAGTAATTATGATACTGCACAAGAAAGTACTGAGTTGGAATTCCTGCTTGGTTTTTATTGCCTTTGCTGTGAGGGTGGGCAACCTCTAAATCTCTTATTTTAATGTAGCCTTTGGTTGGGAGAGGGGAAAGTGTTCTAATAATGTCTTTCTCCCTCAGGCAAGTAATCTGCAGCCATGAGCAGCAACGAGTGCTTCAAGTGTGGACGTACTGGCCACTGGGCTCGGGAGTGCCCTACTGGGATTGGCCGTGGTCGTGGGATGAGAAGCCGTGGCAGAGGTGACTGATGATTTGTATAGCCAGCTCTCTGGCTGACTGTTCTGTATGGTGTGTAAAACTGACTTTGTTAGTCTGAAGTGAAGGAGTTAAGACACAATTTAATAAATTCTGCTAGTTTTTACTTCTGCACAAGAATTTTGCCAGCAGCATCTGAGAGTGAAGCCAATGTGTCAATTGATTCTTGATTAACTCTTTAAGAGTATTCTGAACTTGATCCTTAAACCTTTTTTCTCCTGTTTCCCATTTCAAGCAGGCTTCCAGTTCATGTCTTCATCTCTCCCGGATATCTGTTACCGCTGTGGTGAGTCTGGCCACCTTGCCAAGGACTGTGATCTTCAGGAGGATGGTAAGTATCACTAAATATTCGAGCTCTTCAGTCACATGGACAGAGATCTGTGGCTGAAGAGAGAGGATATAGTAATAACAATTCACTAGAAACAAGCTGTGTGTGTCCTTCACTAGGAGCATGCTACAGCTCACTCTACCAAGGTTTTATAGTCTTGTTTGGTATGTTTTTCTTATTGTGGAAGCCTGCTATAACTGCGGTAGAGGTGGCCACATTGCGAAGGACTGCAAGGAGCCGAAGAGGGAGAGAGAGCAGTGCTGCTACAACTGCGGCAAACCTGGCCACCTGGCTCGTGACTGTGACCACGCAGATGAGCAGAAGTGCTATTCTTGTGGAGAGTTTGGACACATTCAAAAAGACTGCACCAAAGTGAAATGCTATAGGTGAGAACTGATGAGAGACAGCTGTAAAATTTACCTTAAATGATAGGTGCATTCTCTATCTAATTTGGCTAGGAAATGAAGCTTAAATTTGTACTAAGTAGTTTGTTTCTTTACATGGTTATTTACTGTTGTTCAAAAATGGAGTCTTAAATACTTGTTAGCGAAGTCAAGTAACAGGCTCAATGCTGAGCATCTCTAGGTGGCCAGAACAATGCAGCTGTTAAATCACGTAAGCTGTACAGGAGAGGGGGCTGTGTCTCTTTGCAGAAGGTAACGGGAAGTACCTGTCTGTAGCACAAACTTAAATTACCCTCTGTCTGAAGCTCTGTCAGTTGACTGGCATGGCCAGCCCCAGTGGGAATATGCCTGAGATGTCTTGGTTGTAGGAACTGCACATACAGGTGGATGTTAAATCAGTTTGAAAAGCCAGCTTCAAAATGGTGTCTGTATTTTTGAGTGCAGGCCGGTCCCAGAAACAGTGTGTTCCTGGGTGCTGTATTACTCACCCCCATTGACATTCCTTTCTGTGGGGGAAGGAGAGAGAACATTGTGCATTTGAGTGAAAACTGGTTACTCTCAAAACAAGGCTAAACTGCAGACAGGAACACTGGAGTAGGCAAAACCCAGTGCATATTAAAAAAGCCAACCATGCTTCTGTAGTTATGTACAGTGATTTTGGCATACACAGTGATTAATGCGAGTTGATCAGTTGGGGAACGGTTCCTGGCTCTGGTGAAAGCAGAAACTTGCCTCGTGTCAAAGAATTCTGGAACACTGAAGCAGAAATCTTGAATGCAGAACTAGCGTTGCATGAAATTTAAGTAGATGATGTAATTGACAGAATGGGATTACTTTTCTGAGTCACTGTTGTGGATGGTTTTGATCGAATCGTTTGCTTCTTTCCAGGTGTGGTGAAACTGGCCACGTAGCCATCAACTGCAGCAAGACCAGTGAAGTCAACTGCTATCGCTGCGGCGAGTCAGGGCACCTTGCACGGGAATGCACAATTGAAGCTACAGCCTAATTAAATTCCTTTGTCGCCCCTCCTTTTTCTGATTGATGGTTGTATTATTTTTCTCTGAATCCTCTTCACTGGCCAAAGGTTGGCAGATAGAGGCTACTCCCAGGCCAGTGAGCTTTACTTGCCGTGTAAAAGGAGGAAAGGGGTGGAAAAATCAACTTTCTGCATTTAACTACAAAAAAAAAAATGTTTATGTTTAGTTTGGTAGAGGTGTTATGTATAATGCTTTGTTAAAGAACCCCCTTTCCGTGCCACTGGTGAATAGGGATTGATGAGTGGGAAGAGTTGAGTCAGACCAGCAAAAACCCTCTCTGGGTTCCACGGAAGTGATCCTATGCAGGAGGAAAGAAATTCTGGAAGTGTCTAAACTTCCTCATAACTTTAATTTTATTACAATGGCCTTGGATTGTCTGACCTCAGTAGCTGTTAACACCAAGTAATATCTGTATCAGGCCCTACCTAGAGCATATAGCTGAGTGGGAGTAAACAAACACGATGCACATGCCTGTTAATGGCCACGAGAGAGAGAGAGAGAAATCAGGAATAAACATAAAAGTAACAGTAATTCAGTCAATGAATGTTCATGTTGGAGATACAGAACGTAATGGGAAGCTTTTGAATAAATATTTCAAAGTCAATCTGAAACCCAGACATCAGTGCTCATAGCATATACAATTTGGAGCTATTCAGGAGTTGCAAATAAATGCATTTTCACAGAAATCAAGATGTTATTTTTGTATACTATATCACTTAGACAACTGAGTTTCATTTGCTTGTAATCAGTTTTTAAAGTAAGATGGTAAAAGCAATTGAAGTCCTAGAACATAGAAAATGTAATTTTAAAACTATCAATAAAGCTGGAGGAGGAAGGGGAGTTTGGCTAAAGTTCCTTTTGTTTATTTTTGGTTTTCATGTACACAGTGCAAAATAACATTAAAAAGGGGTATGTGGAGGTGTAAAAGTTTAGTTTGGACTTTTCTTTTGTGCTGTCTTATGTTAAGTCTCCATCTGGTAGCATCTGCCTGTCAATTGTGCAGTCCTTCTTCCAGGCTGTTGTGTGTCCCTGTATGTTCCTGCGAGTGGATGGCATGGTCTCAGAGTGGGCTTGTCTCATCTCTGCTGGTGCTGTTCAAGCTTTTCTTCAGAAATCATTGGAGAAGGTGCAAAAGGTGTTGAAAACACAGCAAGTTCCAAATCTGGAGTAGTCTCATGGTGTGTTAGTGGTACTTCAGCCTTCACATGTGTCGTTACACTTCATAACTTAAAACATTGGCTATTGCAGGCACTTGCCACTTCCACTATGTTGATTGATTAAGGGTTATTAAAGAGTTATGAAGTTAGACAGGTGCAAAGGAGCTGATGCATGGTGGGTGTTGAGCGTGTCCCCTCAAGAAGAGAATGAAATTGTCCTTATGTGCAAGAAAAACATGGGGGGGAGTTCATGGCTCCTCGGTGCTTCACCATAAGGTGCAAGTGTAGAAGGTGTGCCTCTGACATCTGGTGTTAAAGGCAACCAAGGGCCCCTTCAGCTGATGGCCTCCTCGGCTTTGGCTGTCTTCAGGAGCTCCAGCAGATGACAGATGATCTGTCCAGTTATGATCAGGGATAGTGTGCTGTAGTCACTTTGTGTTTGCGTCTCCACATCTAAGCTAAAGGCTTTCCTTGCTTTCAGGTCCCAAGGTGTTTTTCATAAGCCATGGATGCTGTAGTGGTGGAAAAAAATGGCCTGGGATGGCTGGGTGTGGGTTTCTTTGGAGAGAGAGAGGCCCATAATCTATGGCTGTGCTAGTGTAAAACTGAATTGGCACTATTTGCCTTCTAGATCTGTGTTATAATTAATCAGTTAAATGTCACTTTAACATTTTCGATTATTTTGGAAGCAAGACTGTTAGATGTGACACAGTCATGCAATAATGCCCCCAAAGGTTGTGGTCTCCCAGGAACAACCCAAGCCTGTGGCTGTCAGCAGACTATAGTGTGTAGGCGAGGCTTGCAGAAGAGCATTAGGAGCTCCTCACTTGATGAGCTGCAAGATCCCAATTAGCTGGGAGTGTTTGAAGCTGTAAAAGCAGGCGTATCACCCGATCATCTTTGGGTTGTTTCAGGAAATCTGGTACCTAAAATGAGTGTGTCAGAGAAAATTGTCACATCAGGTGAATTCTGACCAGGTGGTTGCTGTCAGTGGGCTGCCATAAAAATCTAGAGTTTCTTAAGGTTTGATGAAATAAAGATTTACAGAGACTTAAATTTTCAGCCTGGGGTTGACGTTCAAAGCCCATGGAGAACATTGAGCTGTAGTCAAGGGAGAAAAAGATTCTTGGTGAGAAGACTTGGATTAGAAGATGGGTAGAGCCTGGATCACCTGCCTGGCAGCAGCCAACCTGAGTGGGTTTTATCGAGGCCGAGTTGGTGCTGCTGCAGAGCAGGAAGCAAAGGAGCTGTTGGCAGAAGTTTTATTTATTTGAAGCCCTTCAAGAGGGAATATCCTTGTACTGAGTTGCCCAAGCAGAAGAAAAATCCCAAGTGTTTGCTTCTGCCTGGTCAGTGTGACGTAAAGACATCAGAGACAGGTTCTAGAGTGTGAAACCAAAATGAGATGGTGGCTGTGGTACCGTTGGTCGTGGTTGGTTGGCAGGATGCCTTTTGCCTGGCCGGTTTGCTGAAGAATGAAACCTTTCAGCTCTTGTGGAACTAAAGGGTGGGGAAGAGGTTCTTGCCTGAGCTGTGTGGGGTGTTTGAGTGGGGTGTGTGGGGCTTGCTTTGGTTGGTTTGGTGGGGTTTTTTTTAAATAGCTGCTACTGGAGCGTGAATGTACTCTTGAGTCTTGAGTGTGGTTGCCAAAACCCTTCTAAAATCCACACCTGAAGAGAGTGGGCTGTTGGGGTGGGACAGATTGCCTCAGCGTAGCGTGTTCCTCTTCAGCCTTGTGTCAGGTTAGGGTGGATTAACTCAATCTTTACGTGTCATTATCTGAGTTAAACAGTAATAAAGCTCAAAACTCTGCGATTACAAATTGCTCAAAGTCTTTGGGATTTAACCTGCAAAAAAATGCTGTGTCAACTGCAGTGCTGGTGGCCTCTGTACTGTTCCTGTAGAACTTGGTGATTCAGTTTGGTTATGAAGGTCCCACCACTGCTGCTTCTCAGTACTCTGGTACTCGGCTGCTTTATTATCACTGAGTAATTTCTGTGTGTCTGAAAAGTAGTTTTCTCTAAGATTTTTTATTTTTTTAAACAAAATGGGATTTGAAAACTGAGAAACACAAACTGGGATGGAACTTCAGAAAGATTATTCCAACTGAGGCATCCCTTCCGAGTCATCTTTCCGTAGAGAAGAGTTAGGAATATTGCTGCTGCTCCTTCAGGTGGTGTTTGCTCTGGAGTTAACGAGGTGAACGAGCAAATAGTGATTTCAGGAATTGTGAGGATATTATTTTATTTATTCCCTGTTAATCTTTTCCACTAACACCGAAGCATCTCCTCAGTCATTTTGAAGACCAGTCCCATGACAAACTCCAGCGTGGTGGTCTTCACAGATCCGGTGGATCATATGGATGAGGAGGGTGAAGAGAGAAATGTCACAGGTTATTTTCTACAATCAGGGCTCTCTGAAGGGCTGGCGTTCTCTGGAGAGGGAAATATTACCTTATCAAAACTACAGGGAGCCACTGAATAAATCCTCACTGCAAACCAGTCCTCCCAGTGTGGCTTTTGGAGCAGCCCCAGAGGGTTGATGTGGTTCCTGCACCGCGTGGTGTGTGGATGGTGGAGCAGGCGGCTGGAGAACAGGAGGCAGGCTCTGTTGGTGGCCGGGCATGTGGCAGGGGTTCCTGGGGCATGGGGAATGGATCCGTAGGGATGTTCCTGGTGGAGGGAGCGGGCCATGCTGGTGGATGTGGAGTCGTCCAGTCCCTGGGCCAGCGTTTCTGAATCCCTGTCTCGTGACTGTGCTCAGGGACGGGTGGTGGGACGGGTCTGTGGAGCAGCTGCTGCCCGGCCTGAGCGGAGGAGCCGAGCTCATGGCAGATGACAACAAGTGTTTTATTTCTGTGGTACTGCTCCCGGCAGTGGGCGCTGGGTGGGTTTCTGCTCCAGAAGGGCTGGCTGCTGCAAAAAAAAAAAACCCACCCAAAAACCCAACAAAAGCACCACACCCACCCACAGACACAACCCAACAATCCCGGGCACTCGACCATGCCCTGAGGGGCCACATCTACACGTTTCTTGAATCCCTCCAGGGATGGTGACTCCACCACCTCCCTGGGCAGGCGGTTCCAGTGCCTGACCCCCCTCTCAGGAAAGTCATTCTTCCAAATATCTAATCTAAACCTCCTCTGCCCCAACTTCAGACCATTTCTTCTGCTCCTGTCATTATTCCCTTGGGAGAAGAGGCCAACCCCCACCTCTCTACACCCTCCTTTCAGGGAGCTGCAGAGGGCAATGAGGTCTCCCCTCAGCCTCCTCTTCTCCAAACTAAACATGCCTAGTTCCCTCAGCCTCTCCTCATAGGACTTGTTCTCCAGACCCCTCCCCAGCTTGGTGGCTCTCCTCTGGACACGCTCCAGCACCTCAATGTCCTTCCTGTAGTGAGGGGCCCAGAACTGGACACATCAATGGAGGTGAGGCCTCACCAGTGCCCAGCACAGAGGCACCATCCCTGCCCTGCTCCCGCTGGCCACGCTGCCCCTGACACAGCCCAGGACGCTGTTGGCCTTCTCGGCCACCTCTGGCTCACGCTCGTTATTCCCGGGGAAAACGTTATTTCATATAAAACTTAACAAAACCCCACTGTGCCGTTTTAAAGCCGGGGGTTTAACGTTCCGCCTGCCGCCTCTGGCATCGGCGAGAGGTGCGCTCCCCCTCGGCCTGTCCATCCCCGGGGGCGGGGTCACCCGGAGCTCCGCTACTGAGGGGGGTTTAACGTTCCGCCTGGCGCCTCTGGCATCGGCGGGAGGTGCGTTTCCCCTCGGCCTGTCCATCCCCGAGGGTGGGGGGGTCACCCGGAGCTCCGCTACTGAGGGGGCCTCGGCAGCGCCTCACTCACTCCCCGCCCGCCCCGCGCTGCCCCGGACACACCGCCCCACTTCCGCTTCCGGGGCACGGCGCCTCTGCTTCCGGGAGAGCCTTGGCGGGCGACAGGCGGGCGCCATGGTGAGTGCGGGCCCTCTCCCCTCACAGCCCCGGCCGGCGGGAGGAGCTCCCCGGCCCCGCGTTACCGGAGATGGGGGGCGAGGCGGAGGGTCTCCCCGGGCGGGCTGGCGAGGATGGGGGGCGAGGCGGGGGCCCGGTGTCCGTCCCTTGGCGGCGGCGGCGGCGGGCGGGGAGTGAGTGAGGCGCTGCCGAGGCCCCCTCAGTAGCGGAGCTCCGGGTGACCCCCCCACCCTCGGGGATGGACAGGCCGAGGGGAAACGCACCTCCCGCCGATGCCAGAGGCGCCAGGCGGAACGTTAAACCCCCGGCTGTAAAACGGCACGGTGGGGTTTTGTTAAGTTTTATATGAAATAACGTTTTCCCCGGGAATGAGTGCGAGCCGGAGGTGGCCGAGAAGGCCAACGGCATCCTGGGCTGTGTCAGGGGCAGCGTGGCCAGCGGGAGCAGGGCAGGGATGGTGCCTCTGTGCTGGGCACTGGTGAGGCCTCACCTCCATTGATGTGTCCAGTTCTGGGCCCCTCACTACAGGAAGGACATTGAGGTGCTGGAGCGTGTCCAGAGGAGAGCCACCAAGCTGGGGAGGGGTCTGGAGAACAAGTCCTATGAGGAGAGGCTGAGGGAACTAGGCATGTTTGGAGAAGAGGAGGCTGAGGGGAGACCTCATTGCCCTCTGCAGCTCCCTGAAAGGAGGGTGTCGAGAGGTGGGGGTTGGCCTCTTCTCCCAAGGGAATAATGACAGGAGCAGAGGAAATGGTCTGAAGTTGGGGCAGAGGAGGTTTAGATTAGATATTTGGAAGAATGACTTTCCTGA